TTATAAGTCTTAATTTTTATTTCTACATTTTGTATTTTATTATTTTTATTTTTAAAAATTATTGTTATTATACAAATATTAAGTATAATAAATACGTATAAAATTTTAATTATATAAATATTGGTAATAATTCAGTTAAACAAGTTAGGTAAATGGCACTTGGGCCTTCAAACCCAGTGACGTCAAATCACGTATAAGTGCATTTCTCGAATTCGACTCATTGCGAATTTGTTAAAAAAAAAAAAGGTTAAATGCTTAATTTGGTCCCTCAACTTTAAGAAATGAACATTTTTGGTCCCTCAACAATTTTTTGCACTTTTTTAATCCCTCAACTATACGAAATGCACTCTGTTAGTCCTTCTGTTAATTTGAGCCGTTAACCCTGCTGAGGTGGCATTTTTTATATTTTTTTTGATGATGTGGAAAGCAAAACTTAAAAAAGTAATGACATGCATACAATTTTTGCCATGTCACATGCTACTTGGCAAAAACGTACCAAATCCATCCAATGGGTCCCGCATCACCACTACCAATTGCTCCTTTGGCCATCGGTTACTGTTTCTATTCTTTCCGGTGTTTTTTCCATTTTCAAGATTTTATGGTGTTTTTTCCATTTTCAAGATTGAAGTTTGACAGGATGTTTTTTCCATTTTCAAGATTGAAGTTCGACAGAACACAGCTCGATTCATTTCTTTCCATTTTCAAGATTGAAGTTCGACAGAATCCAGTTCGATTCATTGAACTCAATTGTTCAAAAATCTCTCGCAACAACCTGCAATTTGAAAATCTCTTGGCAAACAATCATATAACAGAAAAAGAAACTAGTTACCCAAAAATCCCTCAGGGCAAACAATCATATAAACCAAAAAGAAAAAAAGAAAAAAAGTGGAGCTGGGTTCTGGGTTCCACCAAACCCAGATCTGGGTTCCACCGAACCCAGATCTGGGTTCCAGGCTGGGTTCGGTCCAATTGCTGGGTTCCGTCGAACCCAGCAACTGGGTTCGATGGAACTCAGCCCTGGGTTCCACCGAACCCAGATCTGGGTTCCATCGAACCCAGCTCTGGGTTCCATCGAACCCAGCAGAGGGTTCGATGGAACCCGAGGAAGAAGAGGAAGAAGAAAAGAGAAAAAGAGAAAGGAATTATTTTATTTTATTTTTAAAAAATATAAATAGAAATAGCGTGAGTTGGCATAAAAAAAATTCCACGTGTAACATGTTTTCCATTTGTTTTTGTCACGTCATCAAAAAAATTATAAAAAATGCCACATAAGCGAGTTAACGATCGAAATTAACAGAAGGACTAACGGAGTGCATTTCGTATAATTGAGGGATCATAAAAGTGCAAAAAATTGTTAAAGGACCAAAAATGTGCAAATCACTAAAGTTGAGGGACCAAATTTAGCATTTAACCAAAAAAAAAACAAGTTAGGTAAATGGTTTTGCACTCCACTATTTATTACTTAATTTAATATTTATAAATATATTATTTTCTCACATATTATTTATTTATTTTTATTACAATTTAAATATACTACTTGCTTAAGTATAGTACGTACTTGCAATGGACTCCTGTACCCATACCCAAAGCTCATCTATTTGTGCTTGGTTGGATTCGGCCTTCTCCACGGCCCTCATATCCCAATAAAATGGGCCAATGACAAGAGGTCATTTTCTTGATGGACCAATGCAATGACCAAAAGGGCTTCGTTAACTGTTGGCCCAATCGAATGGACCTGTTTTAGGGGCATATAAATCTGTGCCCAATAGAATTGTACTGTTATTTTAAATAAAATTTTACCATCCCTCTCCACTCATCCTAAACTTAGGAGCAAGTATTTATAAGTAGGAATGAATTATAATTGACATTTGATTTAAAAATCTTTTAATATAATTTTATAGATTTAATATTTATCTAAATATTGAAATACTTATACTTACTATTTAACACAATAGATATTGATAATTTGCAAACATATACTTATATACTTGATTTAGAGAAAGAAAATATCTAATATGAGATAATTTTATTATATGTGTTATGTGTTAACTTTAGGTTTATTATTTACATGATTAATGGTCTAAATAATTCAGTAATAATCTATTTTCGCTAAAAGTAAGAAATTCAAGTTTAAGTCATATGACATATGGGTAGGGTATGGTAAGGTAGGATAAGAGATGAGGTAAAAGATGAGAGAGAATTGACTTTCGTTGT